CAGGCTCGTACTGAATAGGCTTGCCGAAACCGACGGAACCACTACCCTGGCCCCCGGGGGTCAGGACGGCCCTGTCGGCGCCCGGGTCGTTGATGCGGTTGATATTGGGACAGACTCGGCTATACAGGCCAGACGCCGGGACCCCCGGCAGAGTTGAGTCTCAGGGTGCTTACTTCTGTTCACGCCTCCTGGGCCGGGAAGTCTTCTCATGGGGCGCTGGGATGGGGTAGTCGTCCGCCCAACGCGGGTTCGGTTTCTTGTGTGCTAAGTTTGTTCTTCGACCAAGCTTTGGATGTCCTGTTGGTATTGTGTTAGGTGCCAGATAGCAATGCAAAGTTGTTCACTCCGTGACTGCACTGTACTCCGAGACGAGACACCCCCGTATCTTGCACACCTGAACGAACCAAACTACCCCTAATCCTGAAAATCTGTACTCGCCCACACATCCTCATACACCCTCGCCGTCTCCACCATCTCCTCCCCCACCCTCCTCATTTCCGTCCCTGCATCCCTCCCCAGCGGCAATCTCCCCCTCCACTCATTCCCCTTACACAGCCCCTCGCCAGCAACAAACTCCCAAATCCTCGCCGCCGCCTCTGCTGGATTCCCCGGCTGCTTCCCATCAACCGCCAACATATGCCTCCTGGCTTCGTGCGCCACCATGCCTTCATACACCTGCATCGGCGGGGCAAGATTCCCACTCCCCGCGTCGCCAGAGACACCGGAGAGGAAGGAAGTGCGAAAATACCCCGGTTCGACGGGCACGGCTCGCAGGCCGAACGGGGCGATCTCGGCCGCGAGGGATTCGGTGATGGCCTCGAGGGCAAACTTGGTGGCGCAGTAGATGCCGTTGGAGGGGTAGCTGCGGTAGCCACCGATGGAGGAGAGGTTGAGGATGGTTCCCGAGCCTGGGGCAGTGGCTGCGGGCTGGGCGCGCAGATGGGGGAGGAAGGTGCGGATGGTGCGGAGGATGCCGAAGACGTTGATGTCGAATTGGGTGCGGACTTGGGCGTCTTTGGGGAGTGGTTAATAAGGGGGGCGGGAGGCCAAAGGCTGAGGGGGATTGGGATGTTGTCGTTCAGAAGTTGCAGCAGGAAAGCACACGCACTCAGTCTCCTCAATAGCGCCCATGTACGCATACCCCGCGTTATTCACAAGCACATCCACACGGCCGAACGCGGCAAAAGCCTTCTCCGCATAGCTGTGCATCTCCTCCTGGGAAAAGCTCAGGTCGTACTGCAGCACCTTGACCCCGTCAACTTTGAGGTTGTTGGGGACCTTGGACGGCGACCGGACGGCGGCAACAACGAGGTCGCCCTCCTTGAGCACCTTGAGCACCAGCTCGAGGCCGAGGCCGCTGTTGGCGCCGCTGATGTGCCAGACACGAGGAGTCATTGTGTTGGTGTTCAGGGGGTGACTTCAGGGGAAGTGTTGGGGGCAGCTAGATTCAGGGGAAGTTGAGGAGCCGTGGCTGGCAACATTCGTATTCCTGGACAGAGACTTGGGTCTCAACTTTTATGTCACGTCATCCCAACTCCCCGTATTCCTCGATCATCTCCGTTTGGGATTCCCGCCGCCAAGCACATGCCGTCGTTTAATGAGCCAGTAAAGGCTTGGGCCAGCGCTGGCATTGCACCGCATATAGTGCCAGATATCGGTGACAGGCCATGGTTCTGCGATGTCGTCCCTCTGCTTATTCAGCACCCGCATACACCACCACGACATGGGCCGAGCCCCTCGCTTCCCCCAGGTAATGCCCGCAACCAGCGAACTATTTATGTCGGTGATCGCTTCAATAACCGCGCCCATGCTGTCTTGGCATTACACGTCGCCATCAACCAACCGACAAGTTATGCCTGCTTCCCGGCCAGCTCTTTCCTCATCTCCTTCTTGATCCGGGTCACCGTCCCAGACCCCCCGTACACCAGCCCGGTGTACACCATTGCGACACTAGCCCCCGCATTGAGCACCTTGAGCGCCTGCTCCCCATTCGTAATCCCCCCCGTCGCAAAAATCACCTTGTGCGGCGGGAACACATCCTCCACCCCCGGCGTCTTAAGCGAGTAGCTGTCAAGCATCTTGCGGTAGCGCCCGACCAGGCTCAGCGTGCGGTCAAACATGGCGGGGCCCGAGAAGCCGCCCTCCTCGGCGAGGGCCTTCTGCTCGGCCCCACTCAACCGCGCACCATTGGGGATCAGCCCCGTCCGCCGCTTAGTCGTGTTGCCGACGATGACGCCGTCGACGCCGCTCGCCCAGACGGCCTGCACGACGCCCTCCATCTGCGCATCGTCCTCCTCGTCCGGCGACACCTTGACCATGACGCGGGGCTTCACCTTTCGGTGGGTGCGCTTGGCCTCGTCGACGACGGCGCCCAGCAGCCGGGCGAGCGGCTCGGCGGCCTGCAGGTCGCGCAACCCCGGGGTGTTGGGGCTGCTGACGTTGACGACGAGCACGTCGGCGTAGGGCGCGAGGCGCTGGACGCAGTAGACGTGGTCCTGGATGACGGCATTCATGTCCTTCTCGTCCGTCTTCTTGTTCTTTGCAATTTGCACGCACAGCAGACGGCCGGGCTGCAGGCTTCCGGTGGGAATGCCTTCCACAGCGCCCTCCATCATGTCCTCGACCGTCAGCCCGAGGCCACGGGCGAACTTGCGTAGGCGGTCGCGTAGGCGGGCGGCCATGGCGTCGGCGCCGCGCGAGTTGAGCCCGTAGCGGTTGACGAGGCCGTCGAGGGCGGGGACGCGGAAAACGCGCGGGCGCGGGTTGCCCTCCTGCGGCAGGGGCGTGCAGCCGCCGACCTCGACGACGCCGGCGCCGAGGGCGAAGAGCGGATCAGGGATCTCGGCATCCTTGTCGAGCCCGGCTGAGATGCCGATGGGGTTGGCGAGGGTGGTGCCGAAGACGGTGACGGCGAGGGGGTTCACGGACGAGGGGAAGTCGGCCTCGCCGGCGGAGGGGCGCTCGCGAGGGTGCAGGCCCAGCGGGTAGAGCGTGCGGAGGGCGGCGGTCCCAAGGTGGTGGGCGTCCTCAGCGTCGGGCACGAACACGCGCAGCAGGCGGGGGACAAGCCACTGGTGGACCGAGGAGCGGGTGTCGGTGGCGTAGTAGAAGGTGATCACGCCACCGGTGAGGAGGGCGATGGTGTTGAACATGCTGCGCGCTTTGGAGGGGGGCTTGCTCAAGGTCGACGCCGGGCGCCGCGGGGCATGGGTGAGCCTTGGTTGAGGGCGGGCGAGCGGTCTAAGGGCAGTCCCGAGGACGCGTCGAGCTCCAAGGAGTGTGCCCGCCATGTTGCGGACGAGGGCGGGGCGCGGCCAGCGCTCAATGGCTGAACGAACGAGTGGCTGCTGGTTGGCGATTTGGTGATGGAAATTTTAAAGTCGCAAGAATTGGGAGAGTTGCAGCAACACATGCATGTGGGTGGGGCAACAAGCTGTCTTGGGCCGACCCCCCTGTAAAAGCCCCTGTAATGCATCCCCCACGCTGCGCTGTTGTCGACGTCAATGCTGAACTCTGACCTTGACATCTACCCTCTACCGATTAACCCCATCCAACGCATCGCGCCCGTCGAGTTCTGTATGTCTAAGAATGCTCGCTTCTATAGAAACCGTCATTGCGTCGTCGCTCCAAAATGCGCACCAACCATTCCCTCAGGCTGCGACCTGCTGCACCTCGCCCACGCTCTGTTGCTGCTCGCCCGTCTCCAGCGCCGCGCGCCCCTTGCTCCGCTCGGCCAGCCGATTGAGATAACTTAGATACGTCTGCCAGCCGACCGCGATGACGCCGCCAAACACGGGGCGGTACTCAAGCGGCAGGAAGGCAAAGTTGATGGCCGTCACGGCGGGCCACAGCTTGCACGAGTTGACGCAGCTGACGGGCACCGTCTTGGTGATGCGCTCCCACGCCTCAGCCAGCGTCGCGCCCGACAGCAGCGCCTGCATGCCGAAGAAGTAGGTGTTGAAGACGGGCGTGAAGCAGATCTGGTTGACGACGACCTTTGTGGCCAGCGACAGGATGCGCGACGAGTAGTTGAAGCTCTCGGAGAGCCAGACGAACCTGCGAGGGTCAGTCCCTGCCATATATCGCGACAGCCGTCGACCATAACGCACCATTTGTAACTCGGAATCGACGATATCCCGCCAATCGCCAGCGACCGAACCGTCCGCACCGGGTCGTAATCCTGCCCGCCCATACTCTGCGCCGAGACTGCGACGGTCAGCACGGGGGATACACCTACGAGGACCAAGAGGAGGACATACTGTCGGAGCAGAGGTAGATGAACAGCGACGTGCACACCTGTGTCACATACGGGCGCTTGCGCTGGGCGCGCGCGTACGCCTGGGCGCCGCGCGTCAGAGGGCCGAGCCGCAGCCAGAAGTTGAGCGTCGGTACATTGTTCGGTGTCGGGACCTGGTCCTGGGGCCGCGCGCCCTGCCCCGGCTTCGTCTTGGAGACATCGCTGTGTGTCGAGAGCGGGCGCCGCTGCCGCAGCTTCTGCAGGCAGTCGATGCGGCGCCGGAGCAGCGTCCGGCAGGTGGCGCAAATTCCCATGGGTTCTAGGGGTTGGGCGGGTTGTAGGTAGGTTCAGGGTTTGAGGGTCGGGCGTTGCAGGTTCGAGTGTTGGAGGATTCGAGGGAGGAGTTGCGTTTGCTGACTGTGACTGCTGGGCGATTTCGGAGATGACTCGGCAGCGCCACAAGCAATGTTTCAGAGCCACCCAAACTCGAACTGCCGGGGAACCTCGCAGGGAATCGCGCAGGGAATTACGCGGCAATTAAAGGGCGACCCTGCGGCCCCGAGCCGGGTCCGGTGCCTCCGCCATCGGGTCTGTAGTGCCGGTAGTGGCAAGTCAACACTGCTGGTCGCGTCAGGGGCCTGCCAACGCGCGCAATCGTTTTGCTTTGGTCTGGCGGAGACATGATGAGTCAAGCACAAAGGAGCCTCGAACGCACATGCGCCAACCATATGGGCACTGGCCGGCAGACGCAGCCATTATATAAGCCCTGCTGGCGCAATTGGCTAGCGCATAAGACTTCTATTCCTTGAACATCTTAAGGTTGTGGGTTCGAGTCCCACGTGGGGTGCGAGTCTTCTTTTTTCTATTTTGGCTGAGTCGGCCGTTCTTTTTTTTGTTCGTCATCTGAACGATTGGCTCGGCACACGCACATTAAGCCGAACCCGGACTAGCGCACGACAACCAGGCGGCTTGTTCTGGCTTGTCTTTTTTTTTGGCTCAGAACTTTTGCGTTGCATCATCTCAAAACTCCACTGCCTCAAAACTTCCATGCCCCTTTCCATCCAACGTCCCAGACATCATTACCATCATTTTTTTTTTAACTTGATTTGCACGGTCCATCGCATCGCACACTAGTTGCTAACGGCCACCTTCTCAGGCTCGGCGCCCTCGATGCTGCTGCTCTCCTCTGACGTCGAGGCGTCGTCCTTGCGCAGATCGATGGGGCGGTCCGGGACCATAAACACAACAGCCGACGTGGCCGGAATCGTGAGCCCAAACATGGCAATCGATATGATCAGGCTGACCATGGGCTTGACGGAGGCGGCGCCAATGCCGAACGACACGCTCGAGCCGACCGACTCGAACGTGCGCACGATGCTGACGGCCAGCGTCAGGGTCTCGAGGTCGTCGAAGAAGGCGCCCACGAGCCAGTACACAAACATGTAGTGCGACTCGTTAAGGAAACGCAGCAACACCATTGAGGCGAAGCCGCGCCCGAAGCCCGGGTTGTCCCAGTCGAGCGTCACGCGCGGGTTGGAGTCGCCGTACACCTTCTCGTTGGAGACCTGCCAGCCAAAGACGCCCAGCATGGTCACGACGAAGAAGAACCAGCAGATGCGCGCCAGCGTCGGCCGGCTGAAGACCTTGAGGTCGTAGAACCAGCCCCAGAAGATGTTGGCGAGGGTCGCGACGATGCCCGAGACGAGCGCGCCGAGAGTGCGCGAGCGGACGGAGAAGCTGACCAGTTAGCGGGATACGCAACATCGAACAGGACAGGACGTCACTCACTACTTGGTCATGTAGATGCCCACATACGTCCCGTTCCACTGGAACCCAACCAAGATGGGGATAAGCAGGAACATCTGCTTGCGCTTGATCAACTTCCACGTCTTGCGGACCTCCTCCTTGAGGGTCGTCTTCTTGGTGACGGCGCGCCCGCGGTGCCCGTCGCTGTGGATGACCTTCTCGGGCGGCGAGACGAGGAATGCGAGCGGCAGCCCCAGGCACTGCAGCGCGATCAGCGCCAGGTATGTCGAGTACCCGACCTTGCCGCGGCTGCTCGTCTTGACGTTGAGCGAGAGCTGGATCGACGCGCCAATGAGCTGGCCGAGCTCGCGGAGACCGAGCCAGATGCCGGCTGGGGAAACGTGTTAGCATTGCTTTTGGGGAGGGAGTTCGAAGGGGCGTACTGAATTTGCCGCGGTCCTTGACATCGCCGTAGCCGAGCGCAACGGCGCCCTCGGACGCCCACAGGGCTGACGCCGCAATGCCGCAGGTCACGCCGCCGAAGAGCACGAACCACTCGGTGCCGTAGCGGTTGTTGACGTACAGCGAGGCCGAGTATGGGGCGTAGCCCAGGGTGCCAATGATGAGGACCTTCTTGATGCCGATGCGGTTGGCCAGGATGCCGAAGAGGGTGCAGCCAAAGACCATGATGCTGGGAACTGTGGTCAGCCGCGGGAGTTCAGCATGACGGGATCCGGCAGGTTCAGACTCACCCAAACGTCAGCGAGTTCGCCCCGTTAACTAGGTACGGCTCCTGCGCGCCACCGGCGCCCGTGCTGTTGAGCGCGTTCCAGATGCCCGGCTGCGTGAACGAGATCAGGCCGACGATGATGACGTTGAACAGCGGGCTGCGGTACCAGCGCGTGAAGCGTGACACGGGCTTGGCCTGCTCCTCGGGCTGCCCGGCGACCTCGAGGGCCCCGGCGTCGTCGGCGACGTGCTTCTCGTCGGCGGACATGTTGTCTGACTGGCGCGCCACCAACTGCGGTCTGGCAGGATAGGATGGGTGTCGGCTGGCTGGTTCGCTACTCCACTGTCGCTTCCACCGCGTCGGGTCGGCTCCCTTTATCCCTTTTCTCATCGCACCGCAGCTCTGGTGTATCATCCCGCCGGGCGTCTGCCAGGGGTACCCGACGGGCGTGCCCGCCGGTTCCACCGCATGCGCGCTGGGCGGCCGACTTGTGAAGGGCCACAGTGGGGTTGGCAGTCTCCCTTGCGGCATAGCGGGCTATGTCGCGATGGGCTCGGCCGATGGTGAGATGGGTGGCCATGTCCACTCTGGTTACGTTTTGTTATCGCCCACCTGCCTCCCCGGGACATGGTGGTTTACCAAGGCGCTAGCCTCGCCGGCGCGGGTCCGCGACCCGGCGGGTTGGGCCTGGTGCAGGATGCGGGCGCCATGCCGGCCTCGGTAACGGTTGCTGGGAGTGGCGCATCCCTGCGACGCGTCTCGGCGTGGGGGGTGGGAAGGGGCCCGAAGGAGCGGACCGCGTGCTGGCAGGGATCAGGTTGCGCCATCGGCCGGCGTGTGTGATCCCCATGGGGCTAATGGGAATTCGGTGTCGTGGGCATCGCGACGGCGAGGCTAATCGCATTGCGATGTTGGCGACGGCGAGCACGCAACACCACGCGAAGGCGTTAAAGAGGGACGGGCGATGGGCAGGCCAAGGCGTCCAGACCACGCAAATTTGCACAATATCGATCCCATTTTTCACCCCGGTGCTGACCCCCTACCCCACCACTCGGTCCCCCATCCGTCCCCAAGCATGGCCACCCCGACAGTCCTCCGTCCCGCCCCGTACGGACCCACCGTCGACCTCCCGGCGCCGTACCCGGCAGGCACCGGCCTGCCCTTCTCGCTGCGCCCCCAGGCATCCTCCTCACTGGTTGATGTCATCGCCGACATCCAGCGTCTCTCCAAGTCCGGTCACATCGAGCAGCTACTCAACCAGCACGGCGCCATCTACTTCCAGGACCTGAACCTACAGAGCCCGGATGAGTTCTCCCAGTTCTCCCATGCCTTCGGGTTCATCCCGCACGAGGACATTGGCAACCCGGTGAGGCGGACTATCCTGGCCCCGAACGTGGCGACAGCGAACGAGGGACCGAATACCATGCCCGTGTACCCGCACAACGAGTTTGGCCTGAGCCCGCACTACCCGGCATACGTGTTTTTCTACTGCGTGTCGCCGCCAGAGACGGGTGAGCCGCGTTGCTTTGTGTAGGCGAAGCGCGTCTGCTGACATGCCCAGGCGGCGAGACACCCATCAACAACTCCGTCATCCTGCTCGAGCACCTCAAGCGCAAGCACCCCGAGTTTGTCGAGGAAGTATCCAAGAAGGTGCACAATGCCTCGCCCATGAAGGAAGAGGAAAACATGACTAACACCCCCCAGGGCGTCAAGTACCAACTAACACACCCCAACGGGCCGCGCGACCAAACCTCCTCGGCAGGCACCACCGTGCTCCAAGCATACGGCCGCACCGTCCTCGACAGCGACGACACCGAGACGGCGCGGGCCAAGATCGAGGCCGAGATCCGCCGCCTGCCGACGGCCACCTGGGAGTGGCTCAACCAATCCGAGACGAACCCGCTCGGCGATCTGCGAGTGTGGCAGGTCCTGCCGGGTACGTTACCCGATAATGCAGGGGGTTTGTGGCAGTGAGCTAACCAGACGACAGCGATCCGGAATCACCCGCGCACGGGGCAGCCCGCGTTTTTTAATAACGTCGTCTCGCGGTTCTTGAATGCGTTGAACTTGGAGACGCTGCTGCCGCCGCATCTGACGAGCGAAGGGATTTTTTTCCCGCCGTGCTTTGTGAGTTTTGAGAGCCTAGTCGGTGGAGAGGACTTTTGTGGCTGACAGGCGTTAGTACGGCGACGGGTCGCTCATTCCGCCGGAGTATCTCGAGTCGGCAGTTGAGTTTATCAATGAGACGCGGTCCATGGTGGAGTGGAAGAAGGGGGATGTCATTTTGATCGATGTAAGTGTTGTTGAGGGTGGTGAAAGCAAATGGTACTTACTGACAAACGGCAGAACCATGCGGTGCAGCATGCGCGCGAGCCCTGGACTGGGGAACGGAAGCTTCTGGCCAGCTTGTGGGATGAGCCGCGGTGAGCATAGAATGGAGGTAGGGCAATGTTTGATGATGGAAGGAGAGGTTGTGCGATCAAGGTTGCGGGAGTGGCGGCGCGCCAAGGTTGTGGCGCTCAGCCCGCCGTTGCGGTTGCAACACCATGACAACGGTATCAGGGCTAAATTGGGGCAGCATATGCATGTAAACGATAGCGAGAGAGATTTGACGACCTGGAATGGATACAGCGATAACTGCGACTTCACCTGGGTTGCCTCTCTGGGCCGCGCATGAATACGCGAGCTGCAGGGACTTGGGCGAAGTTGCAGGCGGGGGTAACACTGCGGATGAGGTTGCTCAACAACACGTCCTTCCCGGAGAAGCAAGCCAGTCCCTTGGCATCACATCTCCTTTGGCGATCACACTCTTCCTGGTCCAGTGGAGAGGGATCCATCTGATTTCCCCGCCCCCACACGTGATATTACAATCTCGTTCAGTCACCAACGGGCCGCTGTTGCAATTCACGATGTGCCAACGGCAGAGTCATTTCCCGGCTGTTTACACCGTGCATGTGATGGAGAGTTGGTTAGGAGGTTATATCAGTCAATAAACCATCCTTCGCTCCCATCCCGCTCGGCCATACATTCAGGGCGCTTCTTAACGTGAGCCTGGCCGCTCCATGTCAGGCACCGTCTTCAACCGTGTCCCGCGGAAACCTCTCGTGACTCTCCAATAACAATGCTGTCCGCCTACATCACCTTCCTCCTCAGCCTTACCGGCTTTGCCACGGCCCTGGCGCTGCCGAACCCCCAGAACGGGGAGCCCCCAACATCCCCCGACACCTGCACCCCGAGCCATTGGACTTGCAATGGCACCGAGCTGCGAGTTTGCAGCGGCGACCGCTGGCTCACCGCCGCATATTGCGGTAAGGCAAGCTGCTGCACGACAAGCAACGGTGGACTCAACGCGCATTGCTACTGCTGAGGGT